GTATGAGAAACTTTAAATTTCTAATAAACCCGAGGTTGCCCCCGCATCGAAACATCGATCTCAGGACCTCCTTATAGAGGTGTAATGGGGAAATATGTTGGCTTGGATTCGACCCTATGCACATTCTAAAATTTCTAAAACCGTATCAGGGAGGCCATCTACCATGGTGCCAAATTTGGTCAAAATATTTGTATATATGAGGACGTGTAAAGAACAGATACAGACACACATTTTCGTTTCTTCAGAGATCCACTTAATAAAAGGCTATACAAGCCAATATGGAGTTCTTGAAATTCCTAGAGTCGGCCAAGAGACGTAAGAAAAGGATTAGTATTTTTTCTTCATGAACCTTCTTCTCACTCGATTGATATTACTGACATCTTTCGGAAGTCAGTATGTAACAGCAGGACTCAATGAATGATGTTCTGTCCTCCATCTTGGGAGGGCCATCACTCACGCTGACGCGGGCTACAGACCTTCTGCTGAATGGGCCTTGTCTGTCCATAGAAGAGCAGCAAAGGCAGCTGTCACGCTCGTATCTTCACAGAATGAAGCACAATGAAACCACAGATATTGGCCGTTACTCACCTGCTCAATATGTTTCCCAGAGTTTAGCTAAAGTGTCCATAAGAGACCGTCACGGGACCCTATCTGCATTCCATACACAGCCCTTCTGATGTGACCCCATCATCTGTGCGTAGGTCTTCGGATGAAGTCTTTCCTTTAGTATTTCCAAATGCTCTTCTCTGTGATGCGTGCTATACAGATGTCCCGGGAGGAAAGGCCAATATTCTGGGAGGTCACAGTACCGGTAATTCCAAGTAAAACTATGTATTGTCACGTGTCCGAGGTTCCGTGACCAATAATGAGTTCTGGATTGGATGATTAGATGTATTGACACTTATACTTTACGCAGTTCGAGAATCCAGAAAATTATAGCGCTATCGTTATTCTGTACACTTACAGTTCACGGTTGCGTACGCATCAGAATACTCAGAATTTTATAGTCCCATCCTGGCAACGGATTTTTCCGTCTCATTGTCACTTCAGCTCACCCATGACGTCTTCTTGGCACAGTCTAGTTCCTGCCTTGCCATTTCCTGCAGCTGACATTTCCGAAGACTCGACCCAGTTCTCTGCTTCTACAGCTTCTGAATTCCAAATTCCAGTTCTCTAAATCACCTAGCCACAAACAGGCTCTCGTTATATAGCTTTGAGTCGGATCCATGGAAAACAGTGTCCACTCTTGTCGGTGTTGTTTTGCCACCGAGCAACGCGTTGTAGCAAGGTCCGCAGAGAACATAGCTCCTATTTTTGCGTGTTCGTTGGGTCTTGTATACTGAGTTGTTGCCTAGCAATGGGTCGATACGTCACAATATGTACACATGTCCTATTCCGAACGGTTTCCGCGAGAGTTATTTCACTGCACAGTTCCAAAATTGTGGATAAGAAAGAGATATTACGTACTGTTTCTAATACCAGTAATTATTGTTCAAGTGACAAAGTTAATACAGTTGCCTAGTGTAATATATTGTGACATGTTGCGCAATGGAGGACAACCCCTCCCCCCCAGCAGTGACGTGGCGGATGAGTCAGCGCTCCGTCACCCCCCTCCGCGCGGTGACGTAGCCCCGCCGCACTGTGACGTGGCACAGCTTCCCGCTGTGACACGGCACCGCAACGCAACGCCGCTGTTGACACGGGCAACAGGCAACAGCGAACGGAATAAAAGCCGGCTGAGCAGCAAGCGAGAGTGAGTGTGTGATCAGCAGTTCTCAAGGCAGCAGCCTACTAGTTGAGTTGGAATTTAGCCAGCGGCGAGTTACGAGTTAGTGTGTGATAATCCGTGACAGTCTGTGATAACTGAGAATTAATTGGAAGTGTGTAACACAGTGACACTTGTATAGCTCCCATACTGTGAAAACGTGTAGACTACTGACAATAGAGTGATTTGATTTTCGAATAAGGTTATAAACTGTGAAACCCCGCAACAGTGTTGTAATTAATTGTAGCCGTTACTTGTAGGTTGTTGAATAATCCAGTTAACAATCCGAACGGCGTCTTCAGTAACAAAACACGTTACAATATTTTTTAAAATTCCACCGTCAACATCAGTGCACTTTGCAACTCGTGTGAGGACATGGTGTGTTGCTCGTCTGTACAGTGTACTGTGCGGTGAAATAGCTCTATCTCGGCGCAACTCGTGTGAGGATATGGCGTGTTGCTCGTTTGTACAGTGTACAGTGTACTGTACTGTGAAATAGCTCTATCTCGGAAACCGTTCGGAATAGGACACACGTATATATATAGTTCTGTGCTCAGAGTGACCGATGCTATGACCTCCCTGAATACTGACCTTTCTCGTGAGATACCATGTATATCCCAACAACCTCATCTAATTAGACCATCCTAATATAATATCACGTGTCTTGAGTTCGAATCTCGTTGATCACGTGTTTAAGTTCAAATCCCACTTCTGACACCAATGTAACGTGTTTACGTTACCGAACACGCCGTAGAGATGGTTAATTGGTTTATTTAACAATCTACAAATAACGGCTACAATTACTTATCACACAGTTGCGGGGTTTCACGCTTTATAACCCTAATCGCATTAATCTGTTAACACTGTTGCGGGGTTTCACGC